TGAAAGGATAGCTAATCTCAACCAACTCGCATCATGCATCACTTTGGGGTTTTTGGGACAAGAAATGGTGTCAAAACCTCATAACACCTAGATCTACACAAAATAGATGTCAAGCAAGAGACTTTATACCTCAAAAGGGCTCCAGAAGATGATGCCTTCCCAGATCTACGAGCTCCAGCCACCCAACTCCTTCCTTGACAACTTCTTCTTTCTTCTCCTAGGCTCTCCTTTGCCAAACCAAGCTCCCCAAGGTCAAATATCCACAATCATGAAGAAAACGGCTACTTAGGGTTTCTGAGAGTAAGAGAGCAGATATGGAGGCTAGGGTTGGAACCATAATGTTCCTTATATAGTGGCCGGCCCTAAAATTAGGGTTTCTGGACACTGGACGTACGCTGGGCGTACGCCCCCAACACCTGCGTTCATTTAACCGCTCTACGCTGGGCGTAACCTAGCTTACGCTGGGCGTACCCAGCCAATTACACGCATGCACTCCATGCATGCCTAGGACCCCTTTGCCAAATATTTCCTTTAGGGACCATTATTGACACTATCTTCAAAGTGTCATAACTCCTTTATTCTAAGCCCGTTTCCGACGAACTTTATATCCACGAAAAGGTGGCGAGAAGCCCTACGCTTCTAGCAACACACCCCGACCCGAAACCTTTTCGAATAAAACCCATTGCCCATAAAAGACCAAAACGCCCTTACTCTTGATCTCGAGGATCCATGAATAATTACTCTTAGAACGGGGCGTTACAGTTATACCGAAAGGTTGTAATGCTTCATTCCTTACTATGATTCCAAAAGTGAAAATTCCAGTGGTGGTAAGTGATTTTCGGCCGATAAGTCTTACTGGAGCTCAATACAAAATAATCGCTAAGATCTTAGATATTAGATTTTCTCCAGTTGTTGATGTTGTGGTGAGTCCAGTTCAATCGGCCTTTGTTAAAGGTCATCAAATCTTGGATGGTCTGCTCATGGTCAATGTATTAATTGATTGTTTTAAGAAGAAGAAAAACAAACTTCTCATATTTAAAATTGATTTTTGCAAAGGCCTATGATTCATTGAGCTAGGATTTATTTATTTATCTGGAAAAATAATGAATTTCATGGGTTTTGGTAGTAAGTGGTACATGTGGATTAGGGGATGTCTGGGGTCATCTACAACTTTATATTGATCAATGGCTCCCCTACGAAGGAGTTTAGTTTGGAGAGAGGTTTGAGACAAGGAGACCATATGTCTCCTTTTCTTTTTATATTGGCTATGGAATGTTTACACGTGGCTATTGAAGATGCGGTTGCAGTTGTTTCTTTAATGAAGCTAAAATTGGTGATCTGACGATTTTCTCATCTTTTCTATGCTGATGACTTAATTTTTTGGGAGAATGGTAACATTAACAACCTTGTATGGGTGTTCAATTGTTTTTCTTGTGTTTCAGGTTTGAAGATAAATTTACACAAATCAAATATGTACATAGTTGGCGTTAATAATACTGAGGTTGTGGAGCTCGCGGCTATTACCGGTTGTAAAGCAGATAAACTTCCATTTATTTATCTTGGTTTACCAATTGGGCGTAACATATCATGTATATAAGGGTGGAATTCTATCATTGATAACTTTCAGAAAAAACTTTCTAATTGGAAGGTTATTATGTTGTCTATTGGGGGTAGATCCACCTTTGTTACTTCTGTTCTTGGTTCCCTGGGGATGTATTATCTTTCTGTGTTATTGATGCTGGTCCAGGTTAAAAAAACATATAGAATCGTTACGATCACAATTTTTCTGGGGTGGTGATTTGTTCGAACAAAAAATCAAGTAGGTCAATTGGAATTTAGTTTGGGCTTCTAAAAAAAGGTGGGTATGTGAATCAGTGAATGAATCAAATGCTTTATGGGTTAAACTCATAAACGCTATTTATGGAGCTCAAATTGGAGTTCAGTTTGGTGGGTCTTGCTCTCGTGACCAAGGAGTTTGGGCTAGAATAGTAAGGTTGATTAATACGATGCATGAGAAGGAACTCGTCAAGCACAACATGATATTTAGATGTGTAGGTAGATGAGACCAAACAAAATTTTGGTTTGATATTTGGGTGAGTCACTCACAACCCATTTTGTTCTGGGTTTAATTGTCTTTGATAGATGGGATAGGGCTGGACGTTTTATTGCATTAGAACGTTTAGCGGTAGAGTATTTCAATCTCAATTGGTGGGGTTAACATCACTCCTTGATTCGTTGGCTCTGACAGAGGAACAAGATTGATGGTGATGGTCTTTAAATGGGTAATTTGGAGTTTATTGTCAAATATATATATTAGGGGTCATATTGATGTTTTGAATCTTCCTTCTTGCGATATAGATACGAGATGGAATTGTCTTATGCCACAGAAGATAAACATCTTCATTTGGAGAACTTGTCTAGATCGTTTGCCTACTAGACTTAGGTGCTGTTTGTTTTTTCGAAGCGAAAATGTTTTAAGTCTTCGGACCACCTCTGCAATCATCTGTAGCAGAAGAGGTGGAACAAAAAGCTGCAGCATTTAATAAAAAGTCTGTTTGTTTTTTAACGTCTGCAGACTGCTGCAGTAAGTTAAAGTAAGGCGCGAAGAGGTTTGAAGCAGTTGGTTTAGTGCTGCGCCACGCATCACACGCGCAACAGTTTTTAAGTCAGAAGTCTTCAGGAAAACAAACAGCTGCGAAAAGCCAAGTGTTGCGCGGCGCAGCAATAAGTGGTCTGAAGTGGTTTTTTTAAAAAAACAAACAGCACCTTAACATCTCCAAAAAGGTTTGGAGGTTGCTAACATTACATGCCATGTGTGCTCTTCTGTTTTGGAAAATATGGATAATTTTTTTTTGTAAAATGTGACTTGATGGGTTATTAGGAAATATATAAATACTTTGAGCTTTAAAGACGGTGACTTTGGCACGAAAACAATTAAGGATCTCATTGATAATAATTCGTTTGATTGAATTGTGAATAAAAATAGGAATTAAACTTTCTTGGATCAATTGGATCCAAACCTGTTGCTTTTTTATTCCTATGTAATTCACTATCTCCTTGCTACCTCCGGTTTGTTTTTAATAAATATTTTCAGCTGTCCAAATTTTTTTTGAGTTGGATTATGGAATAATTCAAAAAAACATCTATAAATTCAATTTTCTATAAAAACAAACTCCAAAACATTAAAATTTTCTTTGCAAGTATGTTTCACAAGGAGGTTTAATTCTAGCTCGACTCATAAATATTAACAAACAAACACGACTTGTAATTGTCGATAAGTATTAAAAGTCAATGTTTTATAAAGTAGATATTCTATAAGCCCATATTTATATGAGCATGAGCCCATATTTATATTCAAATCAGATAGAATTTAATTTATTCAAAACTTAAATCAAACCTAAATTCGAATTACGCTCTAAAATTAGACTCTTTAAAAACCCTACAATCAAATATATAGGAAAACCTCAAAACTTAAAGCCAGTAATTTACAAACTCAATTCACTTGATGAATGATGAGTCGAATATGCCATTTTGAATAGCCGCCACACATGAGAAAAGAATGATGTGGAGAAAAACACGAGCCAAGCAAATGTTAATAATATCTTTAACTAGATTTGCTTGGATATTTTTGGTCTCTCATGAAATCTGTACGGACGGATAGTACCATAAATGCTTATTATAAAATAAAAATATTATTTTTTATTTAGTATATTATGATATGCCTTTGATAAGAATATAATATAAAGCAAACTTGAGAACTAAAATCAAAGTCGATACTCAATATCATACATCGGGGTGAAATATGGCTCTTAAATAGGAATTGAAGTAAGATATATAATAGAAGTTAAGCAAATAAAGATTATATATAGTAAGCGACATCCATCAATCGGTCTTATGGTTACCATAAGAAAGATAAGTTATAATTTCCTTTAAACAACGAACGTAATGCATGACTAGACTGGAAACTAGTATTTCACTTATGAATTGTTATTTTATGAACTAAAGATTTTCAAAGAAAATAATTTGAATCTATGATCTATTATTAAAAAAAAATATATTGTTGTATAGTCCGTCAAATTCATCAGTTTTCTTTGTTCAAAGAACATATAATGTGACGATGATATAAAAAAAGTGAATTAAAATAAAGGTTAATTTGTTCTTTATCCAATGGGGTGTCACCATTTATGTAACAATTCGAGTTCTAGGATGAAATCTGCAATCATGCTTAATTATTCTATAAACAAAATATGTAATATTTGCAAACAAAACCAAATCCCTCATTACCTGATCACACTGGTTAAATACTTATTAACAGAAGAGTGTATATAACTTTTATATCTATACTTAAGTATATAGATCACCATTTATAAATTTATGCAATAATTTTTCATTTTTTAATTAAATTTATGAAACTCACATGTAGTATATATATAGATCACATGTTGCATATTTTGGTTATAGAATGAATCGTACGTAGTTACATATTTCGTAGAAAAAACAACTTAATTTATTGTATAAATTAGAAAAAAAAGTCGTTTTTATACTTAAATGGGTACTTAATCTAGAAAACTATGATAGCTTTGTTAGTAATTAAAGTTTTAAGACTTTGGGACAATACGGACATGTGTTTGTTTCATCCTGCATTTTAAAAGAGTACGCAATCTTAATACTCTTATAGGAATAAATTATTACTTCTTGCTGTAAATCAGAAAATCATACCTGATAAGATAAATTTTTTGTTATAATTATATAATGCATGCGTGGTTTTATATTCGGTAAAATAACAAGCATAAGATCTTAATTAAGATCTTTAAATTTGCATAATCAAGTCTTATTATTGTTTCACTTATAAGTTTTGATCATGACATATTTACTTATTTAACCAACATATGAACATATACATCTTTAAAGCACCCGAGATCAGGTAAAAAGACTTACCGTACACCCATTGACTATTCTTGACAATTTATGAAACAAATCAATACATGATCATCACAGGATCAAGATCCAAAGTCATGAGGAAACAGTGGGGGAAAACTCTCAAGCATCTGCGGCGTAATTATCAAATCATCCGAGACTTGATCTTCTCGACAAGCAGATTCATGAGAAAGATCCGATCCAGCAGCAGTTAACTGTGCATCAATACTCGTACGATTTATAAGTTGCCACTTCTGTTGAGCACCGGGGCAACCTACTTCGTGGTCTCTCTCCGGAACTCCGGCAAGTGCTCCTGGTGGTGGGGAGATAGCGTATCTGCCGGTAAACTGTTGCACCACTGCTCGGAATTCAGATGGGGTAGCCTTGATCTTCATAGGATTAGAGATGTAAACAACTTTAACTGGGTTTTTCTTGCTGGATTTTTGTGACCTTTTTTCAAGTTTTACACTCGGTAGCTTCTCCATTTGGAAGTCAAGTAGAAGAAGAGAGAAAACGGCAGGTAAAATGTGATGGTTGATAGAGAAAAGAGGGAAGATATGAAGGAGAGAGAAAGGTATATATCTCAATTATCCAGCATGTGTGTATACATATACATATATCTGTCTATATATGTATGTATGGACAAGAAAGTTTACAATCTAGCTAGAGGGGTTTTGTCGTCTTTTAAATAATAGAATTATTAAAATCTATCTTGTGAACTACTGGTTCGATCGGTATATTTTGACTGTGATTCAAATAGAGAAGTTAATTTCCAGCATGAATAACAAAAACCACCCCAACATGTCAATGCATAAGCATGCAATGCAAAAATAGTCATTTAGTTATCCCCACAATTGAACATCATGTGATAAATAAAACCTAAATAACTTAGGAGTAAAAAAAAAGTTAGTTTATAATCTAGCTTATAATTTAGTTTATTATAACTTAATGTTTGGTAAATTTAGCTTATCCTAGTTCATAAAGTAGCTTATGAACTAAACTTATTTATATGTTAGTTTATGATAACTTATTAATAAACTAATTTATAAGCTGATTTGCCAAACAAATCCTATGCTCCGTTTATGAAAGTTATACAATTAAAACTTTCATTCACGAATGTGCGTCGTGGATCTTTTGTAGTCACTCACATAACTTCTTTTATTATCTCCTAGTTTTGAATAAAATTGTGCAAAAAAAATAATAATAATAATAAAAAACATAGCCCTCCCTAGTACCCGGCCTCATGCCATGTACTGATGTACTCTATTACCACTTAGACCTTGCCCTTCGTCCTGATTCCTTTAATGCTACATGGAGTGCATTTCACAAAAATTTCAAGAAAAAGTGACAAAAATGACAAAAAAAAAAAAAAAAAAAAAACATTGAACGAATACAAAATGATCACTTTTGGGTGGGTAAGTAGCTCAAAACTACCACCTATTTTGCAGCAGGACCACTGAAATAGGTATATACTGTGAAAAAGTTTTATCTGCCATAAAATAATGAAAATTTTGTAAAAATGGCCATGTGGTTTGTCAGGGGGCAGATTTGGTCATTTTCAGTTTTCTGTCTAAACTAAATGCACTATACATATTTGGTCATTTTTTGCTTTATTTATGATGTTTTTTCAACATTAAATAAATATTAAAATAAAACTCTCTCTATGTGTGTATGTATATATATGTGTGTTTAACATCATAACTTGTTGAATAAACAAATGTCTAACATCCCAAAAATCAAGACAAAATTTTCATTTTTAAAACCATTCTAAAAATCTATAAGTTTTACAAAACAAGTTCTCAAAAGTCACTATCACGAATCAGAGTATCCCAAAATCATAAAAATACATAAAATCTCGGATGATGTGTACGATTAAGCCTTTGCATTTCCCTTGTCCTCTGAAGTACCTGAAACTATAAAATCAAACTGTAAGCTAAAGCTAAGTGAGTTCCCCCAAAATACCCCACACAACATATACAATCATGCATGCTGAGTCCACATTCATCAAACTGGATTACCCTCGGGTCCACAGTCATTGGACTGGATTACCCATGGCCCACAGTCATCAGATTGAATTGCCTCGACCCAATCAGTCATCAGATTGGAATGTCCAGGTGTGTTGGCTTACACACATAACAGTAAAGCCTCAACCCAAATCGTACTATGTCGACATATGCAACAGATAAATCATATAACATCAACAAAAAATCATGCAGATCTAACAGATCACTACAACATATCAACATCCTATATACTAGTATACATCACCTAGTGGGCCGGCATTGGTGCCTTCGACCCAGAAGTATAGTGAGGGATCAACTCACAGTTTGAAAAATAGTTGAACAACTCACTGTTCCAAATACTGCCTCTATAGGTCACCTATACAGTTAACAAGGACCCAATCTCAAACTACTATTCAAATTACCTAAAATGCCCTTAAGTAAAACTTGGTCAAGTCCGTGGCCAAAGGTCAAAGTCAAAAGTCAAAGAGTCAACACAAGCTGAGTACGCCCTGCGTACTCTATCACTATGTATGGCGTAGTGAATGTCCTCCCCAAATTACGGGGTTCCATGTAACATCCCAAAAATCAGAGTAAAAATTTTCATTTTGAAAGCAATAAGTCATACAATTAATTTGTTCCAAAACCAATCAAGTGATTAAATCAAGTAACATAAAAGTAAAAATCATAAACAACTAATGCGGTAAACTCTGGGGGATGCAGTGCAGTCATGTCGGGCCCTTCCCTTTAAAACCGAAAGTACCTGAAATTATAAGCATAAAACTATAAGTACACAACTTAGTGAGTTCCCCAAATACCACATACCATACATCATTCATACATATCATACTAAAGCATGTACGAGTCTATTTCACCCCTGAGTCCCTTCCGACTCTCTTAGCCCCTTTCGAATCCCCGAGTCCCTTCCGACCCTCCGAGTCCCTTCCGACTCTCTGAGTCCCTTCCGAATCCTTCAGTATCTTTCAACCGGTACAAGTCTATTTCACCCCTACAACTAAACATACAGTCATACCAGCAAGAGTCACAAAGACATCAAGCACATACAAGAATATTAGTAAGTGTCACAAAGACTACTACTATCCTACAACATAATCCAGTGGGTCGGAATTGGTGCCTTCAAACAACAAGTATAGTGAGGGGACTCACCTCAAATTGATGATAATTGAATCACAAACGCGTTGCTGCTACATGGCTCCTCACACTAAACATATCCAAAATCACCACTAATTAATAATTAGGGTAATAACCCATAATCAAAGGTCCAATCATATTCTATCATGATAAGGGGTAAAAGACTATTTTGCCCTTCCCATACTTGGCCCAACAAATCATGGTCAAAATCCACAATGGCCCAAAATGGCTTCTGGTGAGTAGGCCCCGTGTACCACCATTGTATTCCTAACATACAACGTGCTAGAAGAAAAGGTAACGGGCTGAAACCTGTTACTTGCAACGTACCAGGAAAGTACGCCTAATGTACGTCACTGCTGCCCAAACTCCACTCCAAGTTCTTAATACCTTAAGACTTAAAGTCCAACTCCTAAATCCGACTCTAAGAGACGTCTTAAGTCATAAAGTTCCTAACTTTATGACTTTGGATGGTTTAATGGTGTCAAAACCAAAGCCCTAGATTCATAACTTCACCAAGAGGCCACTAACTCGTTCATGGAAGATATATACTCATCAAGATTCGATTTTGATAACTTAATGACCTCAAAAATGGCTAGAAATGAGGCTCAAAGGTTATGGAGTAACTTCTACTATCAGACCCCCGGCCGAGGCGGCAGAACACGCCTTGTTGTGCGACTAAGTTCATGGATCACAGACAATTAGATATATAGCACAAGTACAACAATAAACAAAACAAAATTTATATTCCATCTTGATGTTTGAATACATGGTTCTTACAGATAATACTATAGTACATAAATTGCCTTAAACATGTAGGCAGATATAACGGAATAAAACTAGATAACTAAGTCGCCTGAAAATCCATGATTAACCTTCTGTCTGAAAGCTTGTTTGATGATATCCTGAGAATATATGTAGTTTAGTGGGTCAACACAAGGTTGGTGAGAGTTATAGGTTTTCTGCTAACAACAATAATACTTTTAAAAGTCTAAAAAGTATTTTCTTTGTAAGTGTAACCATGCTTAAAACTGTGTTTGTAAAGAATCTTTGAATAAACTTTGAAAGCCAAAATGTATCTTTGCATAAGTAATTTCATACTTAAAATATTTTTGAAAGCAATCAAACCCATGGTTTTGTAGTAAGAGAGAGGGATTTTAGTTAATGTTTATAGTGAATCCTATAACCAAACTATGTGACGAGATGTAACCCTTGCAACGCTTCATTAGATGTGATAGGTAAAGGTTTAAGATATATATATTGATAAAGTAGTATGATTGAAGTTATACGGATAAACAGATATATGCATATACAGATATAGTCATCCGCCAAGGTTGCAGTTAGCAACTGTAGATACGGATAAAGTTGTACGGATATAAGGATGAAGTTATATGCCAATGTGGTAGTTAGCAACCACAGATACGGATAAACGGATAAATTTATCTGCTAGGGTTGTAGTTAGCAACCGCAAATACGGATAAACGGATAAATTTGTTGAATAAAGTTTGACTATAAAGGTCATTAACTAAAGTATACAGATATAATTGTACCGATAAAAGTCGAGTATGTTTGATAAGTATAAGCGTAACAATGTATGATATTCGTGTAAATAGGTGACAAATCTTATGTGAGTGTACACAAATACATGTAAAAATCTAGCATACAAGTTTTACAGCTTATATATATATATATATATATATATATATATATATATATATATATATATATATATATATTATATATATATATATGTGTGTGTGTGTGTGTGTGTGTGTAAGCACGATATAATGTTTAAAACTACAGAGTTGATAACCGATTACGACACATGTTTTATGGCAAACTTTTTATACATAAAAAGTCATATCATTTTGTAGTAGAAAGATATATCATTTTTATTAGTTGTAATATAATCATAACAACTATAATATATCTATATGACATATGATAACTAGTTTATTTGTATATGAGGTGTTATTTAACAAAATAACATATATAAACTAGTTATAAAATTTTAAGTGTTTTTCATGAACCAAATATATTATAGCACATGTATTCTAGCTTTTTATACATAAAAGGGTCATAGCACTTTGTAGTAGAAAGATATATCATTATTATTGGTTGTAATATAATCATAACAACTATAATATATCTATATGAAATATGATAACTAGTGTATTTGCAAATAACTTGTTACTTGTTGAAATAACATTTTATAAACTTGATATGAGTTGTAAGTCAAAACAAGAAAATTAATCTAGAATAACGATTTTTTCCCTGTTTTAAAAAGATTCTAGAAAAATCATCGGGAGTCAGAATTAGGATCCGTAAACTCTCAA